TTTTCTTATTGGAGTATATTGTCTATAAGAAAAATGGTTTAACTGGCCTGATTGTCTTAAATATCATTCTCCTTATCTGTTATTGATACAAAGACCTAATAATGGAGCATTATAAGCAAAATTATAAATCATATGGCAAATATTTGCTAATAATTGGCTACATTATGGGTAATGTTCTTACTTACTCAGCCCCCGAACAAGAAAAATATAAATGACCGTCTGTAATTGGCTTCAATGCCATTCTCGCGGCTCTTTATGGTTATACTTGATGGGAAAATAAGAAAGAAATTGAGACTAAAAAAGAGGAATTGAAAGAAGTCCGGGAAGAATTTGCCGAGGAAATTGTCAAGAATGAAACCGAGTATATCGAAAGATTACAAGAAGCCGAAAAGAATTTAGAGAAAATTAAAGAAAAAAGCAAAAATTATAAAACCGTCAATTTCTCAATTTTAAGCCAAGATTTAGGCACTCCCAAAAATATTTTTTTCGCCAATCGAGAAGAAATAGCCCAAGCCCGAAAACTTTATGAGAAAATAACCCAAAATTTAGCAAAAAAAGAAAGTGAAGATTATTTAACTTCCCCAGCAAGCCAAGAATTTCTCCAATTGGTTAAAACTAGTGGAGCCGAATTAGATGATGAAGAAATAGAGTTAGCCGCTAAAATTGAGAATAAGCAAAAGCAGCAAGATTATCAGGCAATTTCTCAAATAGTAGAAAAAATGCCGGCCGTTCCGAATGAATTAACCAAAATCTTAACCAAATTACTATCTAATTTACAGGAAGAACAAATCATAGCCATTTTTTCTCAATCTTATCAAGTAAAAGATAATCAGACTGAATTGAATGCAACCTATTCTCATTTAACCAAAGAACAGAAATTAAAATTGCTTAATTCGGGTTTGGACAATTTACAAATAAATACAACCGAGCAAAAGCAGGAATTATTAAATATCATTCTCACTAAAAAGCAAGAAGAAATTCATTTTGATTTAACCATTACCGAAAAAGAAAATATTTTGCGATTGATTACAAGCCAAATTAGCCAAAATCAATTGGAAACTTATGAAGAATATGGGGTTCCGTTATATAATGCGGCTAACTGAAAAATAACCTCCGAACACAAGAAATCTTTATTGGAATTAGCCGAGGATTTAATTACTGTGGATGAAGAGGAAACCAAGGAAAATTTGGCTAATGCCGATTCCAACAATTTAAACAATTTTTCGTTATCGCCTCAGCAAGAAAATATTCTGAAAACTTTGTCGCCTTTACGACGAGAATTTTCATATTCAGATAATTTGTTGAAAAGATCACGGAGATTAAATAGTCGTAATTTTCTCTTGCAAAAAGAAATCATTCCGACCGAATATAAAAAAATTACTGACCCTTATCAGGAATTAAAAAAAGAAGTCTTAAAGAAAAAGTATCGGCAAATTAGAGAAGAGATTAAGCAAAGAGAAAAAGAAAAAGTAGCCCAGGAAAACCAAGAATTAAGGAGTTCTTTATTGCCTTCTTTACTTTATTTCGCCCAGATGAATGGTGAGGATTTGGCTAATCAGGAATATCGCTTATCTAAAACAACCTTTCGAGAGAAAGAGGATTGGGTATCAATGGGAGCCATAAATAGTAAACACCGTGATTTATTGTTTTTGTCGGGATTTAAATTAGCGCCGCGTTATTATTTCTTTGATTTACTATTTTTTGCGGTGGAGAATATTCACCAAGGAGATTTTATCAAAGATGGAAAAGAGAATGACAAAGAAACTCAAAATCTCGCAATAGAAGAATACAAAACTCAAATTTTAACCATTTTAGATGCTTGGAAAGGCACTCTTTGAGGTATTTTTACCGGAGAACAAAAAGAAGCCATTCGGCGAGTCATTAAAATTTTATCGGATGATAATATTCCCCAAACTCAACAATATCAAAAATTAACTGAATTATTAAATCGTTATCCAAATTCCGACAACAAACTTAATAATTTAGTCGGGGCCTGAGAAAAAGCCGCTAATAAAGGCAATTATTCGCCCACCTCCAATTGAGAATACTTTTTAGCCACTCACTCTTATTTAAAACCTGAATGAGAAAAATATTTAGAATTAGCAAAGGAGAGAGAAATAACCGAATGAAAAAGAAAACAAAAATATTTATCTTCTCTCTCTTCTTCGGGAGACTCTCGGACTATTGCTGCTATTCCCAATATTACTTCCCTCGAAGAAAAATACGAAAGATTAGCCACCGCTTATGAAAAAATGCGGGAGTATATCGAAGATAAAGAAGTATTTGTCGAAGCCCCAGAAAATATTACTCCCGAACCGCCGACAGGACCAACCACTACTGATAATCTTTATGATGACTTATTTGCTAATTTAGACCAAGAGGAAGCCGAAAAACTGCGTAAGAAAAAAGCCCGTGAAGAAG